GACCCACGCAACCCTGAAAAGGAAGAAGCGTGTACAGAAAATGGATGGATCGATGGATATTTGCAGTACATAATGACTTTAATAGACCATTTCATGTGTATAAATGATGTGGGCCGACCTCACCTTTGGAGTTTATTGGGGAAAAAGCTGAAGTTGCGATGGAAATGCCATTGTTTTTGCACAATTTCAACAGACACATGCCGTTATACTGATCTGATGTATTTGTTCTAAACTGATTTGTGTTAAACTTTCCTTTAGGATCATAGATGTGATTTTGCCAAAATATCAAAACATGCTTTTTGAGCTTATTGAGTTTGCATGATTCCAATAGTGTTTTCATATAGAAACCTGAGCTTTATCCAGTGGACCTGTGATCTGGAAAATCTAGGCTTTACTATGTTCATGTGCATTATAACTACGACATGGTCTATTGCTGTGTGTTTGACCCCTCAGCTGCTGGCCTGCAGTAACTGTGGCCCTTGGAGCAATTTAGCTGAACAGCCCTGTCCTAGGATGCCCTACAGTTTAAAATAATATTTCACATCTGTAAAACATAGCAAATAGCGTATTGTGCTTTTTTTTTTTTAAACACTTGCACAACAGAGATTGAGACAGATTYAGCACRGGCTCAATCATTTACCAGGTACACCTCACTCACAAACTGATCATAAATGAAAGGAGTGTTTTCTGATTGTGGATTTATAACGTGTGTACATTAGATGGAAAATCCCTTTAAAATCAGTTAAGTTTCCGCATTCTTCAGTAAAACAGGGAAGTCWTTTGTCAAGTAAAAGCTACTGTTACCTAGCAGTGTTAACTTTTAATGACAACAAACAGAAGAAGGAATGTCTGATTATTAAAGGACAAACACAAATTTAATAATTTACAAGAAACACAAATGTTACAAAACTTTTTAAATTAGACAGATCCTGAAGGAAGTTCAAACACTATGTGTTCACTAAACGGCATCCAGTTTTGTTTGACCTCACCCTCGAACAACAAGGAAATCTCCTGTCTGGTTTTCTTGTTCACTTTATCTTGTTAAATATATTTATATGAGCAGCTGAGCAACTGGTGCAGAAAAGTTTGTTTTTCCATCAGTTGCACATTCCACACAGTTGCCAAAAGAGCAGATAATCACTCCTTTAAACATCTTAGTGATGGAAAACATTTCTGCATTTGYCACAAGGCAACGTCAATTTTAAACTGGTCTTGAACAAATGTTTTATATCTGACCCCATTTCCAATGAAGTTGGGATGTTGTGTAAAACAAACTGAAAACACAAAACAATAATTTACAAATCTTTTTCAACCTATATTCAYTTGATCATACTACAAAGACAAGATATTTAATGTTCTAACAGATAATCTTGTTTTTTTGCTAATATTCACTCAGTTTGAATTGATGTCTGCAACACATTTAAAAAAAGGCTGGGACAAGGGCAACAAAAGACTGGGAAAGTTGTGGAATACACCTGTTTGGAACATTCCACAGGTTAACTGGAAACGGGTGAGCGTTATGATTAGTTATAAAAGGGAGAATCCCCAAATGGGTAASTTGTTCACAACAAGCAAGGATTGGGTGAGGTTCAGCACTTTGTGAACAACTGCGTGAGCATYTASTCCAAAAGTACAGTTGCAAGGAATTTAGTTTAATTTTATAATCTACAGTTCATATCATCAAGYTACAGAGAATCTGGACTAATCTCTGCAAGTAAGCAGCAAGGCTGAAACACAACATTAAAACTGTTCGGGACATTRGATCCCTCATCACATTAAAAATCAACATCATTCTGTAACAGATATTACCACACGGGCTCAGGAACACTTCAGAAACCCATTGTCAGTGAACACAATTCATCACTACAAGTGCAAGTTAAAACTCTACCATGCAAACAAACAGCCAGATATCAAAAACAGCCAGAAACACSGCCGACTTCTCTGGGCCTGAGCTCATCAGAGATGGACTGATGCAAAGGAGAAAAGTGTCTTGTGGTTTGACGAGTCCACATTTCAAACTGTTTTTTAAAATCATGGACATTGTGTCGTCTGGGCCAAAGAGGAAAAGGATTGTCCAATTTGTCATCAGTGCAAAGTACAAAAGCCAGCCTCTCTAACGGTATAGGGGTGTTAGAGCCCATGGTATGGGTAACTTGCACACCTGTGAAGGCACCATTAACGCTGAAAGCTACATACAGGCTTTGGAGCAACGTGTGCTGCCATCCAAGTAACATCTTTTTCAGGGACGTCCCTGCTCATTTTAGTATTTCAGTATATTCAACTGAATATACTGTAGGTTGAAAAGGATTTTCAAACAGTTGTATCATGTTTTTATTTATGTTTTACTCAARGTCCCAACTTTAGTGGAATTGTGGTTGAGCATTTCTGACTAAAACAATAGAGAAACATTTTTTCCATATCTCAGGTCTGGTTTTTCTGAGTGATAAATAGTCCAGCACTGACAGCTGCAGAAAAAGCTGTGGTTCCAACCAGGAGGATCACTGAGACAACAGTGAGAAGCTGGACTGCATCTTTCTGAAATACCGCAAGAAAAGATTGAAAAGTGAAAACAATAGTTACTGTTCAGATAGTTGTCAGGAACATAAAATGTGTTTTTATGTTTTACCTCAGTTCTCTGTGGTTCATCAGCCTGAACTCCTTGTGAATTACCTGTAATGTGAAAGAACATACATTTGTTTTCAGCAAATGACAGTAGATTGTTTTACACATAAGTTTGTGTAAAACAACTTGGTTACCTGTTCTCTTGCTTTGCAGTATTGTCTTGTAAGCAGTGAGCGCAACATTCCAAACTAAAACCAGGAGAATCCAGGCTGTGTAAACAACCAGCACTATCAGAAGCCAGGATTTTCTCCTGGTTCTCTCTGACTCATCAGTCAAGTTGATAACACCGAAAAAAATGAGAACAGCTGTGTAGAGAAAATTTAGTTATAATCTAATAAATAAAACCTGCAAATAACAGATATTGAGATCTTTTGCTTTGAAGAAAGGAGTTCACATTTTGAAAAGTATACAACAATAAGACTTGGAAAGTTTTTTTAAAGCAGCTATTGTATTTTCTATTTTGAAAATGTCTTAATAGGTTCAAATTATGTCTAGAATAATTTAGCCTTYCCTGCAGCACAAAAAAATTAAGCTAAAGTTCTAGATTCACTATGATTAAAATAATGAGTGCACTCAAGTTTTTTTTGCATTTCTTCCATTCAATTTGTTGTCACACCAGTTATGTTTTATAAACTAAAACAATGGCAATCAAATTTACAACTATTATGATTTGTTAGGATAAATAAAGTCTTAATTGGTAGACTGATTTATAATCTTTATGGACCACGACAGCTGCAGGACAAGATACACAGCATTTAGTACACAGCTGTCACTGTTCGTGTTAAGAGCAACAAAAAAGGGGCCTCAGAGAAATTTGACTGATAAAGAATAGGGAAGGCACTCACCCCCACCCCCCCCACTTTCACGCTCGAAGAGAATTTACAGCAACTCATCACTCAAGAGAAGGAGATACTTCCTACATCTTACAGCACCTAAAATATCACTTTTGTAGTTTAAGTTTCTGTGAAATCAAACAAAAGGTTTACGGTTTTTTATGTTTGCTGTCTTTTATGCATCACATCTCRATCGATGTCCTCAAAAACTGCTATGAAAGAATTCTTGATAGTATTTTAGTTTGTCCATGATAACCTTAACATAACTAATAACTCTTTCTGATGCTTTTGAATTGTTTTTAATGTCACTAAGTTTAAGCAGAATAAGGGAAGGTGTTTTATCGAGCCATTACAGCGAACCATCAGGTCTATAAAGTTATTTTTTGTCTTTATTGTTGTAAGAATCAAAAACAATAATTATAAATGGAAAGTAAAAGTGTTTTTTACTTTCTATAGTTTACTCATCATTCAGTCTTACATGTGGAGTCACATCGTGACTCAAATACAGAAAATTTTGGAAAATGTTTGCCTCAGAGACATTTGTGATGAATCTTTTGATAATGTTCCCAGCATTCAGAGTTAAAAGCACCAGTGTTAATGATGTTGTGCTTTTCTACACTGATGTGTGTGTTACTGAATTGATCAAATTGGATCAAAACTCTTAACTCATCATGGAACAATGAGATGTTTTCTAAAAGTAAAGTCAGGAAGCGTTGTCTTACTTGTGAAAATGTGGTGGACAACAAAACACACTCGAAGAACAAGGTCGAAGACGTCAACTCTTTAAAAAGAGCAGAAGCGAATCAAAAACGCACTGTTTTTTTTAATGTCAGGAGAAAGTTTTCCAGTGAAGAAGCAGGAGTTAACCTACAGATCATGGTTGTATCCTAATGGCAGTATTGCAAACATCCACTCTAAGAAATTAATCATGGTCACCACACTCACCAGGGCAACATACAGGTAAGTAACCTAAACACACATTTTAAACCCACATTAAATAAAGCCAGTGACGAACAGAGAAATTTACATGTGATAACAGTTATTACTCACATTGATGGAGTCGTCGATGATGAAACCGAACAAAGACCACACAGAACTTGCAAAACAAAGGGTGCTGCAAACTATCATCAACACCTGAAAAGACAAAGGATACCAAATAGTTTTTGAGTCACTTGAGGTAATTCWTCAGATGAACCACCTCAACTGATCCCTGTTCATGGAGCTTCTCACCCTATTTCTAATCAGGCTGAGCTCAGCCACCCTACGAAAGAAGCTCATTTCGGCCACTTGTATCCAGAATCTTGTTCTGTCGGTCATGATCAGTCAAGCTCCTGGCAGTGTGCCCCAGGGCAGCTGTGGCTACAGTGTACAGTAGCTTCCCACCATCAGTGTGTGAATGTGTGAGTGAATGGGTGAATGTAGTGTAAAGGGCTTTGGGATCAAACCATTTACCGTGATCCACATCACATGACCACAGCTGAATGAGACAGACCAGTAAACCAAGAGCTTTGCCTTTTGCCTCAGCTCTTTCTTCACCACAAATGGCCAAAGCAACGCCCTCATTACTGACAGAATGAGATCGCAATCCATGGATCTATCTCCCACCCCATCCTACAAAAACTCGTCAACAAAACAAGATACTTAAACTTATCTATTTGAGGCAACAACTCATTCTTCTTCTTTTGTTTTAATGGTGGTTGGCAGACTGTTTTAGTGCATTGCAACAACTCATTTACCTTATGCGGCTCATTTATTTAACAAGAACAAAACCAAATGGTGACGTGGCCGTTCCAACTTAAAAACCTTTACAACACTGGACTGGGACATGAGGCAATGAGCCAAAACCACAAACTGCTAACATGGAGGTGGAAGAAAACTGACTATATACCTCTAGAACAATGAGGTATTGAAAACAGCTGACAGAGTGGGAACAGGTTGACTGAGAAAAACAGCTGAGGAGCTAAACTGAGGGCAGATGAAATGACGACACACGAGGAACAAGGAAACACAAGTAACTAAACACAGCAAGCACAAGACAAATCCAACCAGGGCTGGTCTGTATTGGCAAAGGGTTTCAGCCATCCAGGGTGCGCCATCAAAAGAGGAAGAAAAAAAAGTAACTTTAACTTTTCATGGTGCACCAACTAAAATCTTGTCAATCGCCAGTCCTGACCACAAAAAGACTTTAAACAAAATGAGCAAAAAGCATAAATCCTCACACTACAATTCAAGCAGGCACAATAAATTTATAACAGCACAAGTACCTTTAACWGACACCTTACCTTACTTTGTTTATAATACATTGGTCCACTGGCAAATAAGACCAAAATATTGTTGGATATTTCCTGTGAAGAGATTTAGAACAATGAATATTTTGTGTGATTAGTTTGAACAAACAACACAGCACATACAATGCTATWTTTATGCTGAATTATACATACCATTTTCATGTGTTCTAAGTTACTGTCCAAAAGTATAAGTATGGTGCTCAGCGTCTGAAAATCAGTTGAGATAAAAGCATTAGTGTCAACAAAAATATAGAATTTTAACCCTTAAAATTTACAGCATTAAGTTAGATTCACTTTTGAATATCTGGACTTATTTGACGGGCTTGTTGTATTATTTGATGTTGTGTACTCAGTTGCAGACTCAGTTGTAGTTGTTGGCTCTGTGGACTCAGTTGTTGGCTCTGTGGACTCAGTTGTTGGCTCTGTGGACTCAGTTATAGTTGTTGGCTCTGTGGACTCAGTTGTTGGCTCTGTGGACTCAGTTGTAGTTGTTGGCTTTGTGGACTCAGTTGTTGGCTCTGTGGACTCAGTTGTTGGCTCTGTGAACTCAGTTATAGTTGTTGGCTTTGTGGACTCAGTTGTTGGCTCTGTGGACTCAGTTGTAGTTGTTGGCTTTGCGGACTCAGTTGTTGGCTCTGTGGACTCAGTTATAGTTGTTGGCTTTGTGGACTCAGTTGTGGTTGCAGCAGTAGTTGGTTCTGTGGTACTTGGTACTGAGGTGCTTGTGGGTCTGAACAATATGGCAGTCACACGTTCCCAGAAAAGTTCGTATTCCTGCAGAAAAGTGGCCCTGCAGGATGCAGAATTAAATGGTAAATTAGGTTATTTTGGTGACAGCCAAAGAAAGCTCACACAATACGTGGCACTTGCAGTATGTGTTGTGAATGACTCTCAGCTACAACCAGATTTTAGCACAATATATTTTAAATTGACTGAACTGTTGCCATTATTTTGTTTTCTAAGTTTTATTGCTCATCAAGCATTCACACAGTTTAAATCATTTTTTCAGCACGCTTCTTGCTCTGCAATTTTTGTGCTATTTCAACAATTTGTTAAGCAAATCTTTCAGCTCTTTCTGGGCGTTCCGCTATGACTTTTAATACTTCAGCTGTTTATACTTTTGGAGATATTTAGGTTTTTCTGCCAGGGTTTTCTCATTGAAAATGAATTGAGCTGTTTTAAGCATTCTTAAAATCCTTCAAAATGTTCTTAAACCTTTACTGTAGCTTATTTTTATATTTTGTTCTAGCCATAGTCTAGTCGTAAGTCATTGTAACAATTTCAGTTTCCTTTGGTTTCTACCTTTTTTGGGCGGGGTGGGGGGGGCGGGGGTCCTGCTTTTTTTTAGCTATATCATTCTGACATTTTCTGCTACCAGTTTCAACTATTTTGTACTTCGATAAAATTTGCAATTTTAAGCATTTTATGGTTCTTTCAGCTGCTTTCTAATAATTGCAGCTGTTTTCTGTTTTTAGCTATTTTTTAGCTAATTTGAGCCTTTTTTTAGCTAACTCCCTTTTTGTGCTAATTTCAGCTTCTTACTGTCTAATTTAGCAAACATGCTCTTTCTGTTTCCGTCCGTCCGTCCGTCTGTTTTCTGCCGCTTATCCGGGGTCAGGTCGCGGGGGCAGCAGCCTAGGCAAAGATACCCAGACTTCCCTCTCTCCAGCCACTTTGGCCAGCTCATCCGGGGGAATCTCAAGGTGTTCCCAGGCCAGCCGAGAAACAGTCCCTCCAGCGTGTCCTGGGTCTTCCTCTGGGCCTCCTCCCAGTGGGACGTTGATGGAACATCTTACCAGGGAGGCGTCCAGGAGGCATCCTAACCAGATACCCGAGCCACCTCAARTGGCTCCTCTCGACGTGGAGGAGCAGTGACTCTACTCTGAGTCCCTCCCAGATGACTGAGCTTCTCACCCTATCTCTAAGGGAGAGCCCAGACACCCTGCGAAGGAAACTCATTTCAGCCGCTTGTATCTGCGATCTCATTCTTTCAGTCACTACCCAAAGTTCGTGACCATAGACTCCTCCACTTGGGACAGGACCTCCGACCCAGAGGCAGCACCCTACCCTTTTCCGGCTCAAGACCATGGTCTCGGATTTGGAGACACTGATCCTCATCCTGGCTGCTTCACACTCGGCTGCGAACCGCTCCAGTGAGAGCTGGAGATCTCGATCTGATGAAGCCAATAGGACCACATCATCCGCAAAAAGCAAAAATGTGATCCTAAGGTCACCAAAAAGATCCCCTCAACACCTTGGTTGCACCTGGAAACCCTGTCCATAAAAGTTATGAACAGAATCGGTGACAAAGGGCAACCATGGCGGAGTCCAACTCTTACTGGAAACAAGTCCGATTTACCAGCAATGCGGACCAAGCTGTGGCACTGGTCTTAGAGGGACCTAACAGCCCGTATCAATGGGCCTGGTACCCCATACTCCCGGAGTTTCCTGCCACATGGTCCAACGCCTTCTCCAAGTCCACAAAACACAAGACTGGTTGGGCGAACTCCCATGCACCCTCCAGGACCCTGCTGAGGGTGTAGAGCTGGTCCACTGTTCCATGACCTGGACAAAAACCACACTGCTCTTCCTGAATCTGAGATTCAACTATCCGATGGATCCTCCTCTCCAGAATCCCCAAATAGACCTTATCAGGGAGGCTCAGAACATGTGATCCCCCTATAGTTGGAACAGACTCTGCGCTCCCCCTTTTTAAATAGGGGGACCACCACCCTGGTCTGCCAATCCAGGGGAAATGCCCCCAATGTCCACACGATATTGTAGAGCTGCATCAACCAACGCAACCACAACATCATCCAGAGCCTCAAGGAACTCCGGGCGAAACTCATCCACTCCCGGCGCCTTGCCGAGGAGATTTTTAACCACCTCTATCTGTTTCTTTATGTTAATTTCAACTATTTCCATTACTTTTAAAAGCTATTTTTAGGCTAGTTTTAGTTTTTTTTACCCATTCAGCAAAAATCTTTCAGCATTACATTTTTATAGAAAATGCAAATTTCCTGTAATTTTTTGATATACTCTTTAAATTCTGTCGAGTGGATTTTGCTTACAGGCAGACAAAGTTGACTCCAAATAGTTATCTGCGACTATTTAAACAAAGTTTTTGTGCTGTGCATTAGCATTTAGAATATAGGCATCATATTCAGCCAGGTTTTAGCTCAGTGTTTGTAAAATTAACAAAATTAAAGCCATTTGTGTGTGAATAAAAGGTGTAGATTCTTTTCTGAAAGTTCCATAAAAACACATCCAATGGTTCATCAGACGTTCTGATATTTTGCTAACACACACACAGGCAAAATCAAAACTCTCTACATCTGTTTTTATCTTTCAGTGGTGAGTGATAACTAACCGGAAAATGATGTCTAGGTCTTCTCCCTGCACAGTCCAGTTAACTCTGAACTCAGATTTGTACCCAAGTAATCTTTGACTAACAGCCGAATCCTAAAGAAATTTAATAAAAATCAAGAAACAGTTTTCACTTTGATGAGGTCATCAGCTTAAACAAACACAACAAATACATACAGTATGATATACATCAGTTTGAACTAAATAACTTACTGGTAAATTATTACATTTCAGGAGTCGAGTCATTTGAGAGTCAAGTGTGATAAACTTCCCAACTGGGGGGCCGTCACCACCCAAGTTCCTGTTCCGAGCCTCCAGCATAAATCCTCTGAATCTTCTTGAGTCTTTGCCCTTAAGTATAACTGAAAAACATTTGAATATTCATCAGATAGAAGGTTTGAAAACAGAAAATAAAGACTGAGCTGTCAGATCAAATCAAATCTGCCTACCTGTGATCGGGTCTTCAATTCTGCCACGTTCGTAAATAACCTCAAAGGGTGGTTCAGACGATTGTGGAGGAAAGACACCCCCAGGATGATCATGCACAGGTAACATTGAGTCACAAGCTTGTGGAAAGTTACCGTGTGAGTATCCTTTTAGCTCTGAGATATTTAGGCCAATCAAAATCCACAACCACACCTGTGAAAATAACAAGCCACAGTTTACACACTGTTTAACTAACACRGATAGAAACATTTTTTATGAAAGTTATCATTTAACACTTAGTCAGGGTTGGTCAGATTTTCTTTAAAGACATTAAATCTGATCCCAGTGACACACGGAATAATTCTTACCATCATAAAGAAAAACTGAAGAAATCTCAAGTATGTTGTAGGAGTGCTTTTCCCTCGACGGTTAGGTCTGTGGTCTGAGCGAGAAAGAAATCTTACAGCTGACTGATTAAGGAAGCTGAATCTGCCCGCCTCCTTTCACAGTAAAACGATAAATGCATTTACTGCATGTCTGATAAAGCAATGATACATCTTCTCTTTTCTAGTTAGTGTTTGTAAAAATAAAATTAAAAAAAGAACTATGTTTTGCTCTGATTAACTTAAAATAATTTTCACGACAGCCCATGTTGAGTGCATAGGACATTTATAATTTCTCTGTTTAAAATACAAACAAAAGTAACAGTTTTACAGATTTAATAATTTGTTTTTTGGAGCTTGCCACCTTATCAGTAAGTCAAAAGCTGGTTTATTAACTCCTCGTTACCCTGGAGGGACAAAGTCTGAATTTTCTTGCTTTAAAYCGCCTTCAGGAGAATTTCTTGAAGGCAATTTCCACGGAAAGACATAAACAGTGAATTAGGGTTGTTTACATGGGGTGCAGTTTGTGATAAAAATAGCAGTGAACTTTGCCACATTTAGCTTCAAGCAATGTTTGAAAAAGTGGTGTGGATTTTCTAAAGTCACCTTTTAGTACATTTAGTTGCATTTAAATATTAAAGCTATATGTCGAATATTAAATCCAATTAATTTCCTGCTTCTTCCTTTCAGGGTCACAGGGGGCCATGTCTGGGTACACCCTGGACAGGATGCAAGTCCATCACAGGGCCACATAAAGAAAAAAAACTACTCACTCCTGGGGACAATTTAGAGTTAAGCTTAACATTCATGTTTTTGGTCTTTGGGAGGAAACTGGAGAAAACCCACACATGCAAGGAGAGAACATGCAAACTACACCAAGACAGGTCTCTGGCTGGGATTCGATCTGCTGACCTTTGTGCTGAGAGGCAACAGCTCTACCAAATGAGCCACCGTGCCACCCAAATATTYAATCTAAATGCAAAATTTTAATCTAAATGCTAAAAGTTATTTTTTTATTGTTTATAATATAAATAGAATTTTAATTTAGATTTAAATTTAGCATATTATGCTAAATTTAAACATTAAATTTCCAATCTAAATGCTAAATCTAAATGTTAAATGGTAGATGTTAATGCCAAATTTTAAATCTAAATACTAAATATTAAATTTGAAGTAAATATAAACTCTGAATAAAACTAGTTATGGGTCAGAAAAAGTGGTCGGATTTGAATGTAATTTGGTCCATGTGCAGACCAGCATACTGTATGTAAATAAAAACAAAAGTAAAAAATAAAAATAATCCAGATTGAATTGGATTCCATCACAGTGGGGCAGTGCAGGATAAATACACACAATTGATTGAAACATAATTCRTTGTGTGTCATGTTCAAATTGAACAGCCTTCCTAGTTAATCTTGATTGAAAAAGTAAGTAATTTAATATTATAAAGAGTAAAAAAAATCCTTATTTTTTTATTCTGAAATGCAATACAGCCACACTAAGACAAGAGTTATTTTGTAGTTTCCTTCAAGCTTTCCTCAGTCAGGGGTTTGAATGGATCACTTTCGACCAAAAAGATCTTTAAAAACTTTGATTTTGTTGTATTAGTGATAAATTTAAATAATACAACAAAGAAATAAAATGTTGGCTTTAGAAGTAAATCTTTACGTTCTGCTGAAGCAATTTATTTCCTTTATGTACAGAATTACTTTACATCATAATTACGTACATTTGTGGTATATTTTAGTTTTACTGCATAGTTTGCAAATACCACACAAGTGAAACACATAAAAAAATTTAAAGTGCCTGTGACATGCATATCCTTCAAATACAAAAAGTTTTACAAAAGCATCTTTATATTTAAGAAACTTGGCATCATACATATAATTTCATTCATTTTTTCACATTACTGCCATATTTTCATCTGAAATGGGCTCAGACAAAATGAAACAGGAAGTGACATCAAAGGGGAACTCTGGTTTACAATATTATTTTTAASCCCTGCTTTTCTTTGTTTCTCTCTGATAGTGACTCAAAATACTCTAAAGAAACAGCGGGTACTTCTCTACTGTCGTTAACTGTTGTAGCAACTATTCATCTCGGTGTGATTTTTTGCAACGTTATCAATGATATTTTTCCAAAAATGRATTCATGTTTAGTAAAACAAAAAAAGAAACTGGTATCATGGTTGCGTTATCCTACTGTTGGCAGTATACACATAATGTCTGATTGTTAATCACATACCTGTAGTTTTTATTAGACATGCACTTACAGTTTATTTTGTATTCATTATGTTTGTACATATTCAGAATATTTCCCACATTTGTGGGCTATTTGTTTCTAAATATAATATGTACATGATATATATTTTTCACAGAGACTWTTTGTAACATTTTGTGGAAATTAATCTGTTATGTAAATCCCATAATCAATAGCTACTTTGTACATTTTAAATTTTAAATTTAGTACAAACACATACACACAACTAAAAAATGTCAAAATTTAAAATAAAACACAACATAGAATTTAAAATGAAACGCTGAAATCTGTTTTTAACAAGTTCGGATTTTAGGTTTTCATCAGTACCAAAATAAAATGCACACATACATTTGTACCTAGTACATTGATCCTCGTGAGATGATGTTTTTCATTCTGATTTCTTCTCCTGGAGCAGAATTTTGTCGTCTGATCATTTTACGCAGCATTATCTTCAAATGGCTCCTGAACTTCACACCAACAAATGCATAAAAGACAGGGTTCAGGCAGCAGTGGGAGAAAGCAATGAGCCGGCACACGTTGAACGCATAGTCGAGGTGGTTGCTTGTGTCGCAGTCATCAAACGGTGGGATCAGTTTGTCAGCAAAAACTCTCAAAAAGATCACCACGTTGTACGGCACCCAGCCGACGAAAAACACAGCCACGATACAGAAGACCAACTTGACTGCTCTGTTTTTCGTGTGAGACCTGGTTCTTGTAATRTTTATGAGTATTCGAACGTAGCAGAAACCCATCACCGCAAAAGCAAGCAGGAAAAAAAGGTTCTGCTGGCCAGTACCAAACATTTTCCAGAATAGATCTTCGTATTCACAGCCCAGTGAATTTTTGTCTTTGTGGTGGATGGTGATGAGAGAGGTGAAGAGAAGAGAGGGCATCGCTGCTGCAATGCTGATTGTCCACATRAGCCCAGACACTAAAACCCCGGCGCAAACGTTCTGATTACTCATGTCAGAAAGAGGATGGACCACGGCCAGATACCTGTAGATGGTCATGATGGTGAGGAAAAGAACACTGCTGTAAAACCCGGTGAAGAAGACAAAGGTCACAGCCTTGCAGATGACCTTTGAGAATATCCAACCCCAGATGTGGTAGATGGCCCAGAAGGGAAGACCGATGGTGAAGATGAGATCGGAGACGGCCAGGTTGAGGATGAAGATGTTCGTCAGAGATTTCAGGTTTTCGTACAGACCCAGGATTACAAGAACCAGGATGTTTCCTGTCAGACTCAGTGTGAAAACGATGGTGAAAAAAAACGGAGTAGCAATGGATCCAAATTTGACCACATGGTCTTTTTCACAGACTTCATCCGGATAATCATCAGCGTACTCAGCAGTTGTGTTGAATAAGTCAGTCATCGCTGGTGAAGTAGAACCCCTAAATCGCATATAGAACAAGAATTTAATGATTTAAACGGTGTTGTGTTTTTTAAAGTATAAATAAGAACTTACCTTCTTCCCCTTTAAGCTGACAGGTTGCTYAATGTGATGCTCTGGCAATATTTATGAGACCTAAATAGGAAGTTGTACTTTCATTTCCTTTTTTTTTTTTGTAGGAATTCAAGATGAAGTTGGCCTAACATTAAAATGTAGACCAATTGTTTTGCACTTTAACAGTTCTTCGGTTTAAGTTTTACATCTTCACCATCAATCATTTCTTTCTTTGAGTTTGGTTTCTTTTCTCCACAACAATTTCACACAAAAGGCCAAACTTTTAATTTCATTTTAACCATAACAAAAAGCTACCTAATTTTAAAGCCTCTAAAAGTGTTTCTCAGGATTGATGAATTTGGCCTCGGGTTTGTTGTGAGAAATTATACAGATCAAGATTTTTTGAAAGGTTAAATGTTACTGAAGCATTAGAAATGGGAGAGGGTGAGCATTTGAGAATTTTGTGGTCTGGGGTGTGTGCTCTAAAACCCTGCATGTCAGTTTTAGCAGTTATGCTTAAATGAATATAAATCACATTGTGAATTTTTAAATCAAGTTAAYGTTACCTAAAGACAACAAGAGAGTTGCATCTCTCTACTTAACCAGTTAATTTCTATTGTGTTTGAGCAAATGATGTAATTTTATCGATGGTGTTTTTTTTTTTTTTTTTTACTTGATCAAATTATTGTGGGGATCATTACCCCACTAAACCCCTGCAAATTACGCTTATGGTCTGAACTGAAGTGAATGCATACTCTGCAGTATTTGCTTGGTTTAAAAAAAATCACTGATTCAAAATCTATCAAGAACTTTCTAATGCCCAACATTTATGCTTCAGTTTATTTCATTCTAACAAAAATAAAAATAAAACTGAATAGAAATAAAATAAGCTCTGCTGCAACTAAAAATCCACTCTAGTTATATTGTATTTTAAACACGTTCAATAACTCTTCAAAAAGTGGGCCACTCGTTCGACATTAATCACATGATGCAACGATTTGTTAAAAAAAAAAGAAAAAAACTAAAAACAACCAGACTTCCGGGTTTTTACAGCCCGCCCAGTAACCTCAAATTGATTGGTCAGAGGTCTAAATGTCACCTTGTTATTGGATAATGCCCTGTCAATCACCTGCGTCCTAGCAAGATTGTATGTGCTCGACTTAAAGGCTCTCGGGTTGATTGTCATGGGCTTAACTCATTTCTAAAAAAAAGTATGTCATAGTTATTAATATTTTGGMTTTTTTTCTCTTGTAAATATCTGTAAAGATAAGACGTCATTATAGCTCCTGTCCTCTGCTAATGTCACGTTTATTTTTAATGTTATTTCCAGTATATAATTAGGCATAGCTCCGTGTAAACGACTCTGAAACGTCAGTAAAAAGTACTTTTTATGAGTTTAATCATTAAATCTATGTTATTTTTCGGTGGCCTCGGCTTGTAAAACTGTTAAAAGTCGATGGTGGAGTTTTCAAACTTTTATTTTGCGTCTGAAACGTTGAAATCTGACTCAGATCAAATTAATGTTTTATTAAACAGAGGTTTCATGCTAGTTTGAGCATAATTCTTGTTTAATAACAGCAAAGTTGACTTGTTAGTTGTAAATTAAAGCTTTACATTTCAGAGGAGGAGTGCTGTTATTACCTGACGGAGTTGAACCAGGACAAACAATTTATGGGTAAGTAGAGTTTGTGGTATTTTTTTTATTTATTTATTTATTTATTTTAAATTAGAACAAATGGCCTAAATGTAAGATGTTTGTTGTTGTTGTTGTCATTCATTAGGTTTAGTCATATGC